AGGTTGAATATTGTGAAAATTTCAATTCTACCCAAAGCAATCTATACATTTAATACAATCCCAATCCAGATCTACCAATCACTAATTTTATACGGAAAGGAAAGAGACCTTGGATAAGCAAAGCACTACTGAAGAACAACAAAGTAGGAGGTCTCACACTACCAGATCTCAACACCTACTATACAGCCACAGTAGTCAAAACTGCCTGGTATTGATACAATGACAGACACATAGACCAATGGAATTAACATTGAGAACCCAGAAATCAATCTATTGACCTGGTCAGCTGATCTTTGACAAAGAGCTGAAATCCATTAAATGGGAAAGAGATTGTCTGTTTAACAAATGGTGCTGGCAAAACTGGATATCCATTTGCAGAAAAATGAAACAATATCCTTACCTCACATTATACATAAAAACTAACTCCAAATGGATCAAAGACTTAAATGTGAAATCTAAAACTATAAAGTTCCTCAAGGAAAAACCAGGGGCAAATTTTGGGGCCTTACTATATGACATAAATAGACTGTCAACGTAACTCAAATGCACAAACAGCAGAAGAGAAATTAGATGAATGGGACGTTCTAAAAATTAAATTTTTATGGCTTCCAAAGATTTCTTCAGAAGAGTCAAAAGAGAACCTACAGACTGGGGGAAAATGTGAGTGATCAACACGGTGGCAATGAGGAAGAGGAAGATATAGAGAGGTGCGTGAGAGGTACGACAACAAAGATGAACTGTTTTGTACCTACCACACTGCATGTCAGTGATGGCAAACATTGATCTATGGGTGGAAAGATGGGTGGACAGGCTAAACAATTAGGTATGCCTATGCAGGGGGAAGTGCACCCATGACTATGTGTAGGGATGGCAGACAATGTGTCTACAAGTGTATTTGGGTCTTCTGTAAGAATTTCCAAGTATATAGTAAAGCTGACAAGGGACAAGGTTGTAGTCACTTCTTGGGCACAGTCAGCTACCCAGAGGAAGTGAATAATTAGACCTGTAGACTCAAGACCATTGTCGCAGGGGACATCAAGTTCAATTGGCATAAAATACTACACAAAAACGCTGTTCCACATCCTACTTCGGCAAGTAGTAACTGGGATCTTAAAAGCTTGCAAGCAGCCATTTAGATGCAATGATGGGTCTCTCCTCATCCAGAGCAAAGAAGAATGAAGAAAACCAAAGATTCATGGAAACAATAGTCCAAGCGACTGGAACACCATGTGATCCTCAGCCTGTATGACTATGACACCAGAAGAACTCAATGGTGCCCAGCTACCACTGTCAACCCCTAGGAGAGGGGAATCTATGTAGGAGATCCTGGATAGAGTGGGATAATAATGTGGACCAAAACTCAAAATCAATTTAAAAAAAAAAAAGGGACCAGGTTTGCTGGTCTGATAGAGCCTAGTAGAAACCCTGAGACTATGGCCCCCTAGCTTCCCTTCAGGTCTGGAAATGAACCCACTCCCACGGCTTCCAGCCAAACAAAAGACAGGCATATGAGCTGAACATTTACATTAGGTAGATACACGCGTTGGAGAGATCGATCATGGGAGATTAAAAAGGCTGTGTACGCCCAGAAAGACAGCTCAGGGGGCAGGAGTGCATGGGAAGGAAGGACACAGGGAAGAGGTAACTGGGGAGGAAGGGATGGGGGGAGCTGTTGCATTGTGGGTAATTGCAGTCAATGTCATGAGACAAAGTCTATGTGAGCTGCCAAACGGATAATAAATTTACTTCGTAAACTTTCACCCAAATCTCAAATTTTTAAAAAAAGCAGATTTTAAGACTAAAATTAGTGAGGTTTAAATGATACTACAAAATGTTAACTGTCATAAGTCAAAGGAACAATTGGCAAACATTCGGCAGTTTACATATATTCAAAAAAAAAGCCAAACAACCCCTTGCCATAGATTTGATTCTAACTCATAGCAACCCTCAAGGACAGAGCAGAACTGCCCCGTGCTCCAATGCTCCAATCTTTACAGAAGCAGACTGCCACATCTTTCTTCTGCAGTGCAACTGGCAGTTGTGAACTGCTGACCTTTCAGTTAACAGTCAAGCACCTAACCACTGTGCCACCAGGGCTCCTATAATATCTGTAAAGTATCTGTACACAGTATAGTCAACAGTATGCAAACAGAAATATTTCATGCAAAAAAGGGGACTGTGGTGAGTGTACACTTACCCTTCTCCTCCCATTCTTGTTATCTTTAGGCGAAAATCCACAGAATTCAGACTGGGAGGCTTCCATTTCAAAATATCATCACATCGACCAGGCTTATATTTCTAAAATGAGTTAACATGACAATAATAATAAATAAATGGCTTTAAAAAAAACTTGAAACAGTCAATTTATTGAACAATCATATCTACTTTTTATTAAGAAACATTACTATTTCTTTTCTGAATAAAATTTTTGTTATCTTCAACCAATGAATGAGCATAGTTATCTATCCTTTTACTCACAGGCTCTGTCCTTTCCTCACACCAAAGCCTGCCAAAAACATGTAGATTTTTGTGTGTCAAACTCCAAAGCAAGAATAAATTCAGTTATTCTATACAACCTTCCCATGACTCAAAGGAAACATGACAAAAAAAAATATTTTTTTTTTTCTTGTTCAACTTTACCAAGGCAAAATTTATAATGAATAAAATTAGTCAATTTGAACTGTCTTCTTCAATGAATGCTGACAAATGGAGAGTCACATAACTATTATGAAAAGCACAATACAGGAAATTTCAACCCCTCTTAAAGTCCCCTCAAGGGACAGCAACCAATTCCTTCCCTCAACCCTGTGGCAACAACTGATCTGCCTTCTATCACTTTAGCTGTGCCTTTACTAGAATTCATAAAATATTCTTAACATAAGACTTTTGTGATCTATCTAAGTTGATGTATGTGTTATTAGTTTGTTCCTGTCTATTGCTGAGTAGGATTCTATGTTACATATATACTACAAATTGTTTATACACTGACAAGTTCACAGACAAGTAGGCTGTTTCCGATTTTCTGCCATCATGAATGATGCTGGTCGGAACATTCATGAACAAGTTGTGGACATATGTTTTCACATTTCTTCTTTTCCCCTCACTCTTCATTACATATCCAGGAGTGGAATGGCTGAGTCATATGACAAATATATGTTTAATTTTATAATAAAATGCCAATCTGTTTTCCAAAGTAGCTGTACCATATTTCCCATTCCCACCAGCAATACATGACATGTCCAGTTGCTCCACATTCTCCCTAGAACTGGGCAATGTCAGTTTGCTTAATTTTACTCATTCTAATGTATATGCCTCCTAATTTTAATGTGCATTTTCCTAATGACAAAATATGTTGAAAATCTTTTCATGTGTTTATTTATCATCTGTTATGGGTTAATTTGTGACCCCCACCAAGATAAGTTCAAGTCCTAACCCCTAGTCCCTATGCATGTGACCTTATTTGGAAATAGTACCACTGCAGATGCTGATGTAATTACTTAAGTCAACATGAGGTCATCATACTGCTGTGGAGAGGGCTTTTATACAATATGATCTTACAAAAGGAGAAGAGACACAAGAGAGAGAAAGACAGGGAAAAACACCATGTGAAAACACAGACACTCTCACGTGAAGACAGAGGCAGAGACTGGAGTTATGCTCCCAAAAGCGAAGCCAATGCCTGAGAGTACCAGAAACGGAAAGAGATAAGGAAAGATCTCTCCATTGTCTTTGGAGAGAGTATGGTTCTGATGACATCCTAAATTCAGACTTCAAGCACACAATATGAGAAAATAAATTTCTGTGGTTTTGTTTGTGGTACTTTGTTACAGCATTAATATACCATCTGAATATCTTCTTTGAGGGCAAAGGTGGTTCAGTGATAGAATTCTCACCTCCCATGAAGTAAAGGAAACTTCTTATCCTAAAGTCACTACAATTTTCTACTGTTTTTATACAGAAGTTTTACAGTTTTTCCTCTTTATTTTTCATTATATGATCCATTTCAAGTTAATTTACTTATATGATGTGAAGTAAAGGACTAAATTCATTGTTTGGCATGTTGTTGTTGTTGTTGTTGTTATGTGCCGTCGAGTCGGCCCCGACTCATAGCAACCCCTCCTTGGGTTTCCGAGGCAGTTATCAGTACGGACATTTTCTCCTGTTGTTGTTGTTGTTGTTGTTATGTGCCGTCGAGTCGGCCCCGACTCATAGCAACCCCTCCTTGGGTTTCCGAGGCAGTTATCAGTACGGAAGTAGGATTGCCCAACCTTCCTTCCAAGGAGTGGCTGGTGGGTTTGAACCGCCAGCCGTCTGGTTAGCAGGCAAGTGTCTTAGCCACTATGCTACCAGAGCTCCATATGGGTATTAAATTGATTCGACATCATTTGTTAAAAAAGATTATCGTTTCTTCATTGAATTGCCTTAGCACTTTTATCAAAAATCAATTGTTTATAGATACAGATATATTTTTGATCCCAATAAACTGATGCACTGACTTATGTGCCTGTCTTTCTGCTAATAGCACACTCTCTCAGTTACTGTAAGTTTTAAACACAGGCTGTGTAACTCTTCTTTTCTTTTGTGAAACTCTTAATTAATGCAGCCCATTTGCAATTCCACCTAAACTTTAAAGTCAGTTTGTAAATTTCTGTGATAAATAAAAGTCTATTAAGATTTTAACTAGGATTACACTGAGACAAGAGGTCAATTAGAAGAGAACTGAAATTGTAACAATATTCAATGTTTTGATTCATGAACACTATAAATCTATTTCTTTAGGTCTTCTTAAATTTATCTCAGCAATGTTCTGTGGTTTTCAATAGACAAGTTATGTACAATTTTTATTAAATTTACTCCTAATAACTCCAGAAATGATTATCTCTGCTTTGCTGGCTATGCAAAGGAATTTTACTATATGGATCATAACAAACTATGGATAGCACTGCAATGAATGGGAATTCCAGAACCTTAATGGTGCTCATGAGGAACCTATACATAGACCAAAAGGCTATTGTTTGAACAGAACAAAGGGATACTGAGTGGTTTAAAATCAGGGAAGGTATGTGTCAGGGTTGTATCCTTCCCTCACAATTATTCAATCTGTATGCTGAGCAAATAATTCGAGAAACTGGACTGTATGAAGAAGAGTGTAACATCAGGATTGGAGGAAAACTCACTGACAACATGTGATACGCAGATGACACAATCTTATTTAATGAAAATGAAAAGGACTTGAACCACTTTGATCTTTGTAGATCAAAGACTACAGTCTTCAGTATAGATAATACTTCAACATAAAGAAAACAAAAATTCTCACAACTGGATCAATGAGCAACATCACAATAAATGGACAAAAGATTGAAGTTGTCAGGAATTTCATGATCCATGATCATCACCCATAGAAGCAGCAGTCAAGAAATCAGATGTCATACTGCACTGGGAAAAACTGCTGTAAAAGACCTCTTTAAAGTATTAAGAAGCAAAAATGTCACTTTGAAAACTAAGCTGCACCTGACCCAAGCCGTGGTATTTTCAATCACCTCATATATGCATGTGAAAAATGGACAATAATCAAGGAAGACCAAAGAATTGATGCCTTTGAATTATGGTGTTGATGAGGAATACTGAAAGTAACATGGACTGCCAGAAGACATAAATCTGTCCTGGAGGAAGGGCAGCTGGAATGCTGCTTAGAAGTGAGAATGGCCAGACTTCGTCTCACCTACTTTGGTCATGTTGTGAGAAGGGACCATTCCCTGGAGAAGGATATCATGCTCAGTAAAGTGGAGGGTCAGCAAAAAAGGGGAAGGCCTTCAACAAGATGGATTGACACAGTGGCTGCAACAATGGGCTCAAGTATAGCACAGATTATAAGGATGGTGCAGGACCCAACAGTGATTTGTTCTGTTGCACACAGAGTTGCTATAAGTGGGAGTTGACTTGACAGCACCTAACAACAATTTCTTATTTTTGATACTATTATAAATGATAATTTCTTAAAATTTCAATTCTCCATATTTCATTACTAGTTTATAGAAATACAGTCGATTTCTTAATATTGGCATTTGTACTGTGACTTTTTATTTACTTAGAAATTCCAGTGGCATTTTCGTAGCTTCTTTAGGATTTTCTACACAGATAATTATTTCATTTGCGAATAAAGGCAGTTTTACTTCTTCCTTTCTAATTTGTATCCCTTTTATTTCTTATTCTTGCCTTGTAACAATGGCTAAGTCATATAGTACAGTTTGTGATAGATGTCTTTTATGAGGTTGAGAGAATTTTCCTTCTACTACTAATTTGCTAAGACTTTTTATTATAAAAGGATCTTAAATTTAATAAAATTCTTTTTGACACACCGTGAAATGATCACATTTTTTTTCCCCTTAATTCTGGTAGTAAGTTTTGTTATATGCACTATCTTTTGAATATTAAACCAAGCTTGCAGTTAAGATGAACCACACATGGCCATGATGTCTTACAATTTTAATATAATGGTCAATCTTCTGTGAGCACTTAACAAGATTGTAGATTCTCCTATAGTTGGATGGAGAGTTTTATAAATGTCAATATGCGGAAGTTAGTTGATAATGCTGTTAAAGTCTTCAAAATCTTTGCTGATTTTCTGTCTGCTCATTCTACCAATTATTGACAGAGGGATATTGATATCTCCAATTCAAATAGTGAATTTGTCTGTTTTTCTGTACTTTCATCAGTTTTTGTTTCATGTACTTTTAAACTCTTTGTCAGGTATCTCTCTCTCTCACTGCCGTTGAGTTGGATCCAACTCATAGGAACTCCTCCTTGGGTTTCCCAGGGGGTATCACTACGGAAGTAGATTGCCCAACCTTTCTTCTGGGGAGTGGCTGGTGGGTTTGAACTGCCAGCCTTCTGGTTAGCAGTCAACTGCCTTAGGCACAATACCACCAGAGCTCCTTATTAGACATAGATAAACTTAATATTGTTATATTTTCCTTAAGAACTGACTCCTTTAATATTATAAAAAGACACTCTTTATAGTAATATTCCTTGCTCTTAAGTATACTTCAATACTAATATAGGAATTGCAGCTCTCTTTCTATTATTGTTAACATGGTATTATCTTTTTCTTCCCTTTTACTTTTAACCAACATATGCCCTAAATTTAAAATGGATTTCTTATTGTCAGCATATAGCTAGGCCTCCACTCAGTTCTCTAATCTTTTATATATATTTGTACATTGGAGGCTTCAAAATTCAAATAAATTCAAAATATTTTTGTGAAACATCTCCTTAAGAGTACAAATTTGGTCTATTTT